ATAAGGAGAGGTAGGAGTGGGGGAGAACGGAGCATAGTTAGAAGAGAAAAGGAAAAAGGAAACAGCAGATAGGAAGAAGCAAAGGGAGACGAGGCAAAAGATGATAGAAGAGATGTGCAGTGTGTTCAAGGTAATCAAAAACATACAGGAGCAGTAAATGTGTGGGGGTTGATAGTATGAGAGGAATGCAGGTCTCAGACAAAGTGACAGCTGACAGACAGACCGCCCAATAAGCCCACCCCGCCCCACCAATGTCCCTTCTCAACTGGAGCCCTGCTCTGCGGCACGTACACTTCCAGACGGAGGGGCCAACCAGTCTGTGATATCTCAGCTCCAGACTCCTGCTTTGTTCCCCCGTTGGACGGCTTTGTTCACGGCCCAGAGACCGGATGTCTCCTAAATGACTCGCCGCTTTCTCCCCCTCTGACCATAAACTTCTCTTCCTCCTCTGGTGACCTCCATTCTTAAAGATATTTGGAATGTTATCACTGACTGCAAGGAAGCAAAACACTTCTTTGTTTAGTATACACTCAAGTTTATTTGTGTAGTATATGCGGTAATCCTGCTTATAATACATCAAAGAAAAAGTGGTTTGCTATGGCCATAGTTATACATTTCGGGCAATAATATTTACACTTTTCAAATGAGAGTTAGGAAGAGAAGATGCCATGCTCATGTCTGTAAATACGAAGCTACAGTCAGGCTAAGGCTGGCTTAGCCTAAAGAAGCAAAGAGAAACAACTAGTCCTACTCCTACCTTTTCTTTCTTCTTAAATCCACCTACCGCCTATCATCAAACCAGTTTTAAAGCTCACTACTGGACACTCTATTTTGTGTTGGTTTCATCCGTACAATAACTGAAGTGTAAAGCAGCTATTTTTTTAGATCTTTGAACAAAGTTAGGCTAACTCTTTCAGGCTTTATTCTAAGCTCAACTACCAAGTGGCTGTCTAAAGCTTAACATCATACATACATGCAGACATGATAGAGGTATTCCATTTGGAATCTAACTCTTGGCAAGAAAGCAAAAAAGAGTTATTCCCAAAGTGTTAAACTATTACACCATATGCTGTTAATAACATAGCTTTCAGCTATAACCAAGCTGAGGCTGACCGTCATGGACACTGCCTGGAATCCTGGTAACACTGAGCTGACATTATCTTGGCAGCCAATAAATTACCTCATGGGAAAGAACATCGGGTCACAACAGTCATACCATTTGCACAGAAACAGAAGCACCCACTCCACTCTATTTCAGATGAAAAACACCCACAGGTAAGAGAGTAATGCCGTTAAATAATAACAAAATTACACTAAAATCGGTCTAGGAAAATGTGTGTGCATGGATGTAACACACACTGACACAAAAAGCTGTTGATGTCTGGCCAAGCAGACGTTTGCTGATCTTATTTCAGGTACAGTAGCACCCTCATGAACACACACACATGCACACGGGCTGAGGCTGTCACAACACTGAGGATCATTCTGACATGATCATGTTGATGATGCCAAACACCCTGTGAGGGAGATCAGGTGTCCATGCTGCCGTACAGTATGCGTCATGAAGGAGGGAAGGGGGTAAGACATATTACTGTCTCGAAGGGGCTTGTTTCACTTTGTATTTTGGAGTAGGTGGATAGTTCTTGATAAATTGTAAGTCATTTTTCAGATTAAAACACAATTAATAATTAGATTTATGTCCCTTTGGATTTAGGAAAGCCATATACGCATTTTCTTACAAGTCCTTGATGTTTAATAGACTAAACAAATGAATCCGTTAATTCAGTGGTTCCCAAACTTTTTCAGTCGGGCCCCCCTTGGGTAATTGGAAATATTTTCGGGACCCCCCCCAACCCGGTTCCCATCTATATTGGTAGGATTTATTGTATATTGTTGTAAAAACATTACATTTTCTCTACTAATAATAATAAGATACAAAGATCCAACTATAATTGTATATTTTATTATGGATTACACATGAACAAAAGTGCTTGTAATAGATACTGTGAATTAATTTGGCCTAATTAAAACTAGCAGGCTTTCTTCCCAGAGTAGTAGATTTTTAAATTCAAATTTCTTTAAGGAAAATATATTAATGAACTACTATTTCTACTGCAGGTTGCAAACAATCACATCACTTTACCATTCCTATTCCACACATAGCTTATCAATGACTTGTGTGTGCTTGCTTTCCCTCGCAGATCTTCTCAAACCGGGGCTGTTGTTTTGAGACTGCCCCTCTCAGTTCATTCTCAATGTTCAGCTTTGATCTGTATTTCGTTTTGATGGCAGCAAGAAAAGCCCATCTCACACAAGTAGGATGTTGCAAAAGGCAGCAGTATGCCCACAGCTCTCTGACCAATGAGATATTTTCGAGCAGTGTTTGTTTACAATTGAATAATAATAATATTAATAATAATACATTTGATTTATATAGCACACTTTAAAAACAACGTCATCTCAAGGTGCTTCACAAAGTTAAAAGGATAACATAATAAAATCAAATAACCTTCCCGCGCCCCCCCTGCAGTACCTCCGCGACCCACCAGGGGTCGCGACCCACACTTTGAAAACCACTGCGTTAATTGATCGGCAAATGGTTCAAATATTAAAAGAATCTTTTAAACTCATGTCTATATAGTAAAATATATTAGTTTTTTTATCCTTGATCCCAAAATGTTTTTATGATCATCTTAGATTTTAAATGATTAACATCTGTTCTTACTATTTTTACTGTGCTGTATGTTTTAATTCTTGATTTCTTTCCCCAAAGCATTTTGAACCTATTGTTTTTACAAATTGCCATACAATTAACAATTGTTTTAGTTATTCAATAATTAAAAAATTGGTTGGAATTTGTTTTAGAATCCATGCAATAGCCGGTATGAATGCACAGATGAAATCCTCTCTCTGAAGCCTGAATGCTTCCGTCGTTGCGACCTGGCGGGACGTGAAGGCAGCGGTATTGTATGAACTGGTTGACAATCTGAGGGCAAGAGGAGGAAGCCCTTTCTATCAGAGTCATTCACACGCCCACACACACAAACAAGATGTTTTCCACATCCCAGGGCGATTAGTAAGTCTAATCCGACTCCTGGAAAGGGGAGGTGAATGTTGGCAGGAAGTGTGGACCGTAGACGGTGAGTTTGGATGAGCCCTGCCATGTAGTAGCTGGAGGAGGTGACGTGTTGTCGTTTCTGCCTAGATAATAATGTTGATGATAAAGAAATGCTGAAAACAATATAAAAAAAACAATACAAAGAGTCACTTGGATGCTTTACAATTACATAAACAAAAATTGGAAAATAATGTCCTATGCGATTGATATCTTATGATGCATCGGTGTGTAAGTATGATTTTGCTATGTTTCACATTCTGATTAAACTAATTATTTCTGCACAGATGCAGTTAATGATTAGGCTACAGTTATATTTCTATAAGTGGACTTCAGTTTCAGTAATTTATGTAACGTATTATTCTTTTTAAAGTAACTGGCCCTGGACAATAACATGGATACTTAGGTGCTCTCACATTGATGGCCTTATTAGAGTATAAACTGGGCATCAGTGGCCTGGCATCACTGCTGCATGACTCCGCCTGACAGAGCTTTCGGACAAACTACATCACAGCAGCAAAGACCAAAAGTGAAAGAGAGAGTAAAAGTGAAGGCAAAAACTGCAAAAGAATGTGAGCGAGAGAAAATGGCAGTATTCCCGAATCCGTGTCTCTGACCTTGCTGTATCCCAGTGCCCACATATATCCGATCCCGAGCTCACTAGAGAAACACAGTTAATCCCCTCTTTCAATTGGCCCTAACTGAAAGAACGGAAACAGCAATCTTGGCTTGGGAACTATACAATGAGGAAGCCATGTTCGTAGGCCCATCTTGGCTGAAACACTATGAGAGGCGAATTGCAACTCGACTACAGAAGCCAAGAGGGGAAGGAGAGAGGAAGACTCTGTGGCTCTAACGCTCTGAAAGATGGAAGACATATTGGCTCAGAGAGCAGAGGAAGGAAGAGAGAAGGGTAACACCAGCGTTGGGTGAATTCTGCCGTGCCACAGATTCACAAATCACTTTAGAAAAAACAATGGTCAAAACCCTTAAAAATGGTATACACAGCTGCTAAAACAATCAGACATATTTGTCTTCCCTTTGGTGGCATCAGAAATGTCCTATTCAGGAAAACCTTTTCTAATGAATGACAATAGGAAACTGTTATATAAGGCTTTAGACTATAAGATATCAACAGACAGGGGTTTATCTCCTCTCAAGGGAAGCCTTCTGCAACTTTATTGCAAAGACAACCTATTGAAGTCTGAGTAAGCCCAATTAGTTAGATATTCTTCCTAAGTTACAGAAGTTTTAGTTGTCTTACAATGGAGATATAAGTATTGTTTTATGAGATCAAAAGCTGTTGAAAAGGTTTCAAACTCATAAAGAAACATCCTTTGAAACAAATAACCTACTTTACTTTTTTGTAAAAAAAATTGGGTTGTTTAAATGCTGTACATACATTTAACCACCAGGGGTCAGTACAACATTTTCATGCACCTTTAAGTCAGTTACAGCGTTTGACCAGCAGGTGTCACCAAATGTTAAATTATAATCAAACAGTGTCCTTTATAACACAAGTATGACTCTATCGAGATTGATCTAGCATATATGAATTGTTCTGGAAGAATAAAATGCTTCTAAATAAATGTTCTTCTTTTTTTATGTTAAACATTCTGGTGATTTTAGTATGGACCTAACTACAGCAGGTAGTCTGGTAAATACACCTATTATTTGTCCATTACGCCACCAGGGGTCACCCTCTGACTACTAATGGGTTGTTGGGTTATCATCTTAGTAGTGAGTGGCTTACTGGCTGTTCACATGAGTGCAAAACCACAGGATGTTGCATGTGCAGTTCAAAGATATGCATATTAAGACATAGTGCTTATCAGAGTAAGTAGGAGAAATTACAGTCACAAAAAGAGAGAAAAATGTGACTTACAGAGTGCAGATGGGGCAGGAACCTCTCTATGTCATTCATGTCTATGCCGTCATCTTCCTCAAACTTGTTTTTATTCATCCTGGAAGAGAGAAAATAACTATCAGCGATTGACAGAAATGAATTGGCTTAGTGACAGAGAACAATCCTAAAGCCATATCTTAAATAATATGGAATGATCAATACAATGCTGAGTCAGAGCAGCATCAGCAGAACCAAGGTCTTACCCCTCTCTGTCGATGTGTGGCAGGTGCTTTGGCGTTCCTCTGAAGTGTTTCCTGTGGAAATGGCTGAAGTCCAGCTTCTCTGGCTGCACGTCCCAACCGGCACCGCTACAACCCAGAGACATATTGAAAGTTAGAGAAATCCAGCGTCCATTTATACACACAAGTCCTATTACAAGCGACTGGTGGTGAGGTGTGGAGAAACAGCTGCATCTTATAAAAGGCTCTGTCAATCACTGACCAAATGGGGCTACCATGGACTTGTGTCAGCACTAGGGGAGTCTGGATACACTATTCTTTTTTGGGTCTATTGTCTTACTCAAAAACGTAAATTATTTCAAACTTTAACTTTAAACAACATATTATGTTTCGAAACTCTAAGCCACAGAAAACCTGTTCAAGCAGCTTTTACTAATGTGAAGAAATGTCTCCTAAATGTTTTTATTCAATACTCAATCCATGCTCTGTCATCTCTGTCAGCATGGAGGGAGAGTTGCTCCTTCACCGTGTGCTCAGATGTGTCACCGTGGCCGGAAGTTAGGTAGCTGATGCTGCTGAGCAGCTGTTTCCATGGCAACCAGAACTCCCACCAGTAAAGATGTATGTCTCACACATTTCCTTTTTTACGTCCTGTAGTTACAGGTCAAGCTCTTGTTTGAAAGGATTTTCACTCGGGTGTAACGTCACGTGTAAGAAAATCATACAAGATTTCAAGCATTAATTCACATTTTTCGAAGACAGCAGTGGAGCCTTCAGTGGCAGAAACACTGAACCTAGATATAACTAGATTAAATTAAATTCGTTTGGGCATGGTGACAGAAATAACTTTTTGAATATTGATGACCCTTGTTGCATTTCATGTGAACATCTATTGTTCGATACTCATAATTAATGCTGTCTTTGGCTTACCAGGAGAAAACTAATAATTATTTACAAAAGAGCATACCTTAAACTTAAGAGAAAATAGGACAATCTCAATCAAGCTGTACATCAGACTAGCAAAGTCCATTCGAGAGGAAGTCAAAAACAGTGAGACTGTCACAGAGCAAAGTAGTCCGAAGCTCCAAGACTTGGGAGTGTGTTAATCAGGCGTGTGACCCTCCAGGAACTATGGCTGGAATTCAGAATCAGTAGACTGTTCAACATATGAGGTTTGTGAATCAGAAAGGCACCTACCCGCGTGAGTCCATTGTGTTGGCAGCCCATATGTCTGTCCCCAGGATGTCCAGGGAGCCTTCTCTGTTCCCGTTCTGTTCCAACAGCCAGGAAAATATTTCAGTACGACTACAAAACACTTCTTAACAAACCATCACATATCAAGCTCCCTTAGATTTTTTTAAACATCATAAACAGAAGCACCACTTGATCTACTAAAGCCAGTGGAGACAAACATACATATATGTTGTGACAGTAAGAGACATATGAGAAAGCAGACAAAGACACACGAGCACGCAGGTGTATCTTTACCTTGGCAGGGCATGTGAATTGGTTGTTTCTGCCTCTGCTGCCGGAGCGGGAGCCAGATCCTGGTCTGGAACCTGAACTGGGCCTGGAACCTGTGCTGCCGTTACTGCTGTGATCCCACTCATCCTGCAGGGGTGAAAGAGGAGGTGGAAGCAGAGGACTGAGTATTCTGTGTCTGTCAAAACTCTTGTTCCATTGCCAAGTCTTGAACATGTTTACTTTCAGAAGCTGCGTGCAAACAAGCATAAAAGTCCTTATTTTCTCAGCACTGAATATATATTGACAAGAACTTGATGTATTGATATAAATACTGACATTTCAATTCCAATCCCTCTCTTTACCTTCTTCATATTTTAGAACACTCTGCACTCTCTGAACCTCTCACTCGCTCTGCTTCACCACTCACGTCCTGAGGCCTGTACTACGAATCCAGTTCAACATAACCTGGATATAAATTGCAGTTAGCTGGCTTACCTAATCCAAAACAAATGCGCTCTCGCTAAACTGTCCTACGACGCTGGTTATCAACTCTGTAACTCAAATCCGGCTGAGTGCGCGTTCACATGAAAGGGGCGGGGCTAGCAACATTTCACCAATCACAAACATGGAGAAGTGTACTGACAGTGCAGCGTCATACTTCCTGAATGAAAAGTAAACTATAACATTAGACATATGAAGAAGTTAAACTTTAAACATCCATGACTTAAACACTTTATCCAGGATAAAAGCAACATAGTTGCAGCTGCTAGATGAATACAGCTGGTACAAGAAAAAGTGTTTATGATATCACTGCCCCGGCTAAGACACGAGTGGATCTGACTTTAATTATATTTGACTTGAGTGTTTCATCAACTTAATGTGTTGCTTAAAATAATACTTCTGCATACAGTATGTGACACTGTGAGTGTTGCACGGCCAGATACGGCTCAGCTGATTCAGATATGGAAATATATGATACATTATGATGTGATGTGATATGAATGATAATGGGACACATCGACGTCTGCACTCACAGTGCCGCGGACTGCATGTAATGTACTTTGATCCGGTTACTTATGTTGTGGAAGATATTTAAGTAAGCTTTCATAACGCTAATGTTATAATAGTCAGATTGCTCTGAAGATGGGAGGTGATATTCTATTAATGTTCACGTTCACACAGTCAGTTGATTTTTGCCGGCCGTCTTTCCTGCAACGGCAGCTTTTCTGTATTTCCTTTCTCCTGTAATATGACTTGATCGCTTTAAACTCCGCACACTGAGCTCTGATTGGTCAGCAGGCAGTGCTTTCACTGAGTTGAGCTCTTAGCCTGCAACCTAACCTGGTCCGGAGCAGGTTAGCCGTTCAGCATAAATTACCATGGAGATCTAGCCCGCTAAAAAGTGAACCAGCGTCGTAGGACCGGAAACCCAGAGTTTTCCCTGAAGTTAGCCGGCTAAGCGAAAATCCGGCTTCGTAGTACAGGCCTCTGGTGAATCATACCTCTAAATCTCTGATGAGCAATAATACTCTGAATCCCAGAGACTGTACTGTCTGAGCAGAGCAGCACACACACGCTCAGATATTAAGAGGACTAACTGACTGATAATTCATTTAAGATGATTAAATTACTGGCACAGGCCGCACAGTATCTCATGTTAGTTAAGAGCGTACTTTCTACACCAACCACAGGCTAGCAGAGTGTGCAGAGCTGTGTATTTGTTGTGCAGTCACTTCTAGCCAAACATTTGAGCTGACGGATTGGAAAAGACTAACCAGCACATACAGAGCTGAGAGCTGAGCAAACCTACGCTTTAATCAATGAGATGCTCCAGTGACCAGAGGGAGGATGACGACAACATGGAGGTAGCAGTAGAATCAGGGTAAAACATACAGGTACTACTCTCACAGTTACTGCAGACTAGCAACATAGATTCATGGGTCACAAAGAGAATCGGACATGTGCTACATTAAAGGTCCCCTATTATACTGTTTTTCATCAATATATTTTAGGTCTCAATCAGATATATACAAAACATGTTTCTGAAGTGTTTGGCTCCAAATACAGATCATGCATTGTAGCATCCCATAATCCCCTCTGTTTAAGCCCCGTTTCAAAAGTGCTGATTCTGTGTCTGTAGCTTTAGATTAAAATAAGGAGCCACTCCCCACACCTCTCGGAGATATTTGGTTAAAAAGAAAACAGGAATCCTGAAGTCAAATGTATTTTTCTTATATTTTATTTATCGCCACTTTGAGTTTTAACCGGTTACATTGGCGACACACTTTACCTCACATTTACTATATACAGTATTGATTGTCCTTTCTGCTTATCTTCCAACCATTTGGACGCAAACTTGCATTTCCCCATAACGATGTTGCTTAACAACCAGCGTAAACGGACCTTCGTGCGCTATCAAGCAGTGAGCGTGCGATGTCCTGTTCAGATGACGTCTAATCCAACGGGATGCCATAAATAAACTACACAGAATCACACTACACACCTACGCAATGATTACATTCAGGCACACTGTAGAATACAACCTCTTTGGACAATTGATATACTTATTGAAAACAAGCTACTAAATGTAATACCTTGGAAAATGCCGTTTAATAGCCTTCATTTTTGCTAAATTGATTTATCAACTTGTAATACTTTTTAAGACCCCGCGGACACCCTGTAGGAGGAGATTCAGGTGATAAGGTGGGGGAGGGGGTTACCTTGGTTGGTTATGGGCTACTGGTTACACAAGCCAAAACATCGTTATGACATCATAAAGTGGCCAACATCTGATCAGCTCATTTTCAGACAGGTTTTTATAGAAATGGATCAGGAGAAAAAGTAAGCGAATCTTTTTTGCTGAACTTTCAGAATCTCTTTACACAGAGGGGACACATGTGTATGTATAAAAGACATGAAAAAGTGGATTTTGCATAATAGGACCCCTTTAAATAAGTCGTTTGACTGTGTTGTGACTAAAACACAGGTCAGAGCTTTGTGTTTTAATTTCATAAAATCTTTATTCCCTCCCCATTGTTTTAGCTTTATTTACACTATAAAAGTTAGAGTCTTGCTTTGTGTGCTGTCAGACTTTAAATATATTTATACATCTTCAAAAAGTAAAGGGGATGCATGATGCAACAGTTATGAACTCATGAATATGCTGCAGCATGTGTTATTGCTTCATTATTGATCTGATCCAAAATAAAGACCAACCATATATTTTTTGAGATGGACATTGATAGGTCCTTCTTCCCATTCACTACACTCCTTGAGATGGACAGCAGGGTACAGCTGATCCAAGAATGTTTGCCGGTACAGCCCTTTAGTGGGATCATGACTATGCTTTGCAAAGCTAAACTGTGACTGATTATTGAATGCATAATTAATGGTCACCTCCAAAGCTGTGAAATAAGCAGAACCCAGCAGAAACACTTACTGGCTTGGTTGAGCCTCTTCCCCGTGAAGACGTCCAGCTGCCATCTTTCTTGTTGTTACAGTCATCTGTCCACTGGAGGAGAGAAATGGGAGGGAGAAGGTGCCTTATTAAATAAAGTGGGTTTATTTTTGTGTAGAAAATAATGTAAATGCCATTAGGGGCAGCGGTTTTGATGCAGGCTGTACCCCACAATTATATATTTGAATGACAGAAACCAGAGAAACCACCAGTCTGTACTAAGAAAACAAATGTCTGCATGTTATCCAGTGAAATAATAAGACTCTGACCTGTGGCACCTTGCCACCATTGTCCAGGTCCAAGTCCCCATCCGCCTTGTCTCCCAGAAGCCCCTGCACCTGGTACTCCAGCACATAGCTGTCGATGAAGCGCTCCAGCTCCTCTATCTCCTGCGAGCGTGTGCTCCCAGCCTCAGACGATGCTGACGCCACTGAAGAGTTCTCCATGACAACCAGCGCTGTGACGGATGCTAGGGGAGCAGGGGGAGGGAAGGAGGAAAGTGACCTGTGGAGGGAGGAAGAAAATACATGACTAAGAGTTTACAAGGTAGTGCATTAATCTCCTGTGAGGCTGGCCTGTGTTTATAACAAGAACATTAAAAGATATGAATGAACAGAGATAAGGCGAGTTCAAGTCCCAGGTGAGTGGGATAGATGTGCACATTCAAATCAACAGTCTGATGGCATTTTATGACACACAAGTATCACCCCTTCCTTTTTAACCCATTTGTACTACAATGTATTTGTTCTTTCTTCATAAGCACCAACCGGAGTAGGCTTGCCCTCATACTTGCATGAATGAGCTTGTCACCGCTCAATCTAAAAGCCATAGAGCAAGGAAGATACATTACAGACACTGCTTATGGCAAGAAAAGCCAAACATTCACGGGCAGCCATATTCAGAGTCAAACCGGTCCAACAAAATGTGCCTGTCCATCTTTGTTATGATGGTGTCTGACAAAGCTCAGTATAGACCAGGGGTGGGGAACCTTTTTCCTCTCAAAGGCCATTTACATTTTTACAACATCGTCCGAGGAAGTGTTTCCGCCAGACCAGGGCTGAGAGGGCGTCCACCCGAGAGCGGGTTTAGATACTGTATTTTTACGTTAGTGAGCCGGATCATTTGGCTCGGCTCTCTTAAAGCGCCGGCTGTTTCGGCTCCCAAACGGCTCTTCATGTTACCACAGTTTACCACGGAGCCTCAGCTTCGCCGCTGCTCCACTAAAACCCCTCCCGCTCATCGCGTCCAAATCGCGCACGTTCCGTGTTGTCCTGTAGCAGGCACCTTCGATGTCGGGGAAACGATCTTCAATACTCCGAAAATAATCCCACCAGACTCCTTTGCCCCTCCAACAGAGGGATGTCCTTGTCCCTTTGCGTAATTTCATTAATATTAATATTTCTCAATAATAATATTTTTGGACGCCCTCGCCTCGCGTTCAGGGCGTCCCGAGCTGAATAAGGGCGTCAAATGACGGCAAGACGCCCCCCTGGCGGAAACGCTGCTCCGAGGGCCGTACAAATTATTGACCTCTGCTTAAAAATACTAAAATCACAGCCCATTCATTTGGCCTTTCTTTCATGTGTGCAAAGAAAAAGCAACCTCTTAATCCAGATATCTTACCATGACTCGCGTATGCATTCACGTGCACGGTTGTGGCATGACCACAACCATGACCATGACCAAAACAGAAAGATATGGACACAAGATGTGTGCAAATATATTTAGTTTCCTATCCATGTGAACATGATTTAAGTGAGGGGGGGACCTAACCTCATCTAGAGGGGTCCGGGGGCATGCTCCCACGAGAAGTTTTTTTTTTTGCATCAATGTGGTGCACTTTGAGAGCAACACTAGGAGATCTATGGATACATCTCTCAACACCCATATGAAACAGAACTGTAAGCAGATTTTCTTTACGGATATTTTACAAATCACTCGTCTGTGATTTCAAACTGTATTCTTGTTTATTAATAATAACTTTTATTTTACTGTCATATAGTATTTTATACCCGTTTACTTTATTCGCTTGTTTTTTATAACTATAATGATAATATAAAGATGTGCCTTTACCTCACTGGTTGTAGAAAAAGCTTCTTATATTCGTTAGCATAGCTAGCTAACCAGATGCTAATAACAACAAAGTTATTGACTGTATGATCAGTATGACAGATCGCCACTGGGCTTTCAACTAAAGACACAGCCACGCAAAAACTGAGGCATGTGTACGGCTCCTTATGGGTATGCCTACGGCATTTCTGAAGTGCCGGAGCGTCGTTCTGGTGCTCTCGGTCAGCACTGCACCCCTGTCATACGAGACATATACCACGTGATGACACGTTAGGCTCGTGTTGTGTTCAAGGACCCTGACCGTGGCTAGGAAAAACAGGCACTCGCTTGTTTAATTATTTTGCGGTCTAGATTTCTTTAATTCTTTGCGTGTGTTTATAAATTACCTCGAGGGCCGTGCCAAATGGTCTCGTGGTCCGTATACGGCCGGAGGCCGAAGGTTCCCCACCCCTGGTATAGACAGACGTGCCCAGAATAAGCTCTCCCCCATTTGCTACAGTGACCTCACCAGTGCTCAGAAAAAAGACAAAGGGTGACGCTACATAAGCTATCTACTCATGCTGCCAAAATAATGATGACAGCAAAAAGCAGTTGAGTGCCTTACCAATGCTAATTAGTTGATTAATCCACTTTTTGATTGAAATAAATACATTTAGATAATAGATTGATCATTTAAATCAATTCTCAAGCAAATATGACACAGATTCTCTAGTTATATCTTCAGAAAATGTGATGATCTTTTGCTTTCATTTAAAAACATCTCCCAATGTGTTTTTTCTGATATTTCATAGACAAAATAAAAACAATTGTAAAATACCTATAGGCATTTCTTTCACCATGTTACCTCTCAAATGCTAACACTCAAAGACGGTACATAACCTTACTGCTGCCAGAAAACATCCATATATGCAGCACCTGCTTTCAAATAACACTGTGGGGAAGCAGGAGGCCCAGGTTGTGTTTTCACTCAGAAAACCTCAGATTCGTCTCTACTTGGTTCTCTGTCGAAAACACTCTGTTGTCACCATTAATTTACCTCTCCATGTCCATGTCCCTCTTTGTTTTTCCACCTCTCCTCTGCTGTCTCTCTCTCCCGTGTGTGTTGTGGGTGTAATCACCTGACACACGGCCAACAGGAGAACAGCTCCATGCTTGTGTCTGTCTATTGCCACTAAGCTCCTTTACATCATGGCTTGATCACCAGCCATGCAAAGAGGATTTATGGCCCTGGAGCACGCAGCATAGTATCTGCTAAGCCCTGGGGACTCGCTGGGGAGCCCTGTGCATGTGTCGGTTGCACAAAGTTTGAACACTTTGTTTTGGTTCTGGGCTTTCTAACACCCTGAGTGTAGTGCTATACTTCTTTCATCTATTTTTGTATCATCACATTTTAACTCACCCACTGCTGCACTGGGTAGTATGGCATCAAACAAAACAACAAGGAAAATACTAAAATCCCACCAACTATTACACAGAACAAAAACAACTATTTTACTTATTGTTGTGTACAAGACTAAAAAGCATGTTTACAATGTCTGAGTTAATAGTATTACTATGAGAGAAATGCCCCATTGGAGGATCAGACTTTAGGTCAGATAAAGGACTGGATCCTGATAAAGTCTCTTCCTCGAGGACAGGGACTAACCCCCCTCATCCCCACCCTGCTGCTTTAATTGATGTATTTAGGAATAATGCTTTAATCTCCGTATACGATGTAACTGAGTCAACATGTCCTAATCTGGCCTACTGTAGTTTCAGACGTATCATTTATACATTATCAACATAATCCATCTGTACACTTATACCAGGCTTTGAGTAACTGAGTGAGTGGCAGCTAGCAGGGCACAGAAGCAACAGTGCTTGGACCAGCTACTTGAAGACTTTGTTATCCTTTAGAAATAAAAACAAACATGATGCATAAATCTTTTCGGTTACGGTACACATTTGTACTGTATGAATGTGCAAACTTATGTATGCTTCAAACATTATGTATGTATGGGTGACTAAACACATGCACTCTCACTTCCCCTACAAAACATGCTATGTGTACTGTTTTATTAAGACTAAAATATACTCACACACTCTTTCATAACATTTAAATTATCTTAGACCATAAGGAAACGTGGCACTACAGGAACAGTTTTTATCTCTTATTCCTGCTATCACTTGCAACCCTAAAACCACACACTAGAGATGTCCCGATCCGATCACGCGATCGGAGCCGATCACGTGATTTTCAAAAGATCGGAAGAAAAAAAATCGGGGATCGGGAATTTTTTATTATAAAAATATTTGTATTATTTTATTTAATGTTACAAAACAAAAATGACCATGTTCACGTCTTAAAGTCATCCTGAGGACTTAGTTTTGGTTTAAAATGACACAACATCATGTATGTGTTGCTTTCTTTGGGCTTGTTTTCAGACCTGGTTGCTTTTTCTCTCAAATCTAGCAACAGAGTGGGCGCAGTGTCTAATAGTAGCAGCAAGCTAACGAGAGGCTACGTTCAGCCGGTGACTCGGGAGTCGGGACAGAGTAAATGTCAGGAGTTTGGAAGTATTATAAAATTGAAAGCGAAGGCAGTGTAACAGCCAGATGCAATGTTTGCAAGGCGGAGGTTCCGCGTGGTGGAAAGAACAGAGCTACGTTCAACACGACCAATCTAATACGCCACCTGAGAAACAAACACCAACAACAACACGACGAGTACACAGCGGCCACTCAGGGAACGGCACTGTAACCGACACTTTTAAAAGGAAAGAGAAACTGCCCCAGAACAGTGAAAAGGCCAAACAAATAACAGCCAAGATAGCTGAATTCATCGCGTTGGATGACCAGCCGTTATCTGTTACCTTTTTGTTCTCTTAATGCATTGCATAAAGATCGGAAAAAATCGGTATCGGCAGATTGTCAAAATCAAATGATCAGAATCGGATCGGGAGCAAAAAAAGGTGATCGGGACATCCCTACCACACACAACATCTGTCAGATCTCAGCTCAAAAAAGACGTTTCTCTTGTATGATGTGTCCACTCCAATTTACATATAGGAGGTTGTAGAGGCATGAAAAACACAATGTGGCAGTGAATTCTAATCCAAATTCACAATTCCAAAAGTTCTAACAACAACACAGTTGAACTTAATGTAGAAGCATCCAGTAGTCTTGCGTTTTGCATCACTAGCTCTGATGCATACTGGCGGGGGGGTGGGGGGCAGTTAGATGTCCTACTCTTGTCCTTGACATAGTATAGAGTTACGGTCTGAGGGGAAGCTGCTGCCAACAGCTATTGACCCGTCTGTTAGTACAACTCATCGAGTTCTCCATCATTTTATCCTGGTTTACATGATTCCTTTGTATTTCAACATTTGAATACTTTCAGAGTAAAGTACATCATAGTTTATGATCTATCTGTGCAGCAGGACAATACAAATCAC